GGATGACCCCTCAGCAAACCTCCATAATAAAGTCCCTGCCTAATGGAGTGAATGACCTGCGGGGGGGGGTCAAATAGAGAGCCCCGTAGTCTAGAGCTTGGGCCATAGTTAGCGGGCAGGTGCAGTCAGGCCTCGATGAGTTCTGTGTTCTGTAGCGGGGCAATGGATGCTTGCTCTTGCTTGCATACCTACCTACATACATGCATCAGCTCCATGGCTCTTTCCGCTTCTTCGCCGGGGCAACTGCGCCTAACATTGACACCCAAGCAGATAACAACAACCCACTAAACCCAGTCTAGTCGGACTTGGTACCACAACCACAACATTGGATTACAACTCGAGCCAAGACAACAACATACGTAGCAACAACAAAGAGCTTTCTCACGCTCTCAATGCGCACGTTTACTAAAACGTCCTCGCCGTTCCGTTCCGTCGCCCACGAACTGTCTCACAACTAAAGTTCACAGGTATGTTACAAGCTTGCGCTTCCCCCTTGTTCAGTCTCCAATTTCCTGAGAAACACCACATATGCGCATCACCATGATACCTATTTCCTCAAGCTGTGACCACAGAGGGGAAAGCTGATACCTCCCTCTATTCCACTTCGTGCCGCGCGCACATATCGTCTCAGCTCTTCCGAGATTATCACATCTCTCTACCTTGATTGCGACTAATGCGACCTCGATCTAGATTCGTCATTTATAACCCATGGCCGACACAAAACTTACCGACCAGCAGGTCGCTGACCTCAACACCATACTACGCAGCGATTCTCCCCTCGATGCAAAGGTTCAATATGTCACAATCATCAAGTCCGGTATCAAGCAACACAATGTTCCCGAGGCGAGCGTCGCTCAGCTATTCGAGGGCTTGCGCGCCGCCACCACCTCACAGCACGCAGCTCTAGTAAATGCTGGGTTTACTGCGCTCAATCACCTCCTCACACGCCTTTCCCGTCAAGATCCTAAGCTTTTATCCAAAGAAGCAGCTCGAACTCTACCACTTGTGGTTGACAAGCTTGGCGACCAAAAAGACAAGTTCCGCTCCCTCGCATCGCACTCCCTCGTCACTCTGTTCTCTGTTGCGCCAACCGATGTTGAACGATATGTACGAAACACAGCTATGGTGGGGAAGAATCCCAGAGCGAAGGAAACTTCAATGCATTGGCTATTACAGGTATGTCGTGGCGACTCTGGTACAATCCTACGCATGCTAATGGTGTACAGATGCACAATGAGAACGGTCTCCCCTTTCGAACTTACGTTCCCGTGCTCATGGAACTGCTTGAAGATGCCGATGGAATGGTGCGAGATGCCGCGAAGAACACTGTCATCGAGCTTTTCCGATCTGCGCCAAATGCTGCCAAGTCCGATCTGAAGCGACAACTCAAGACCTTCAAAGTACGACCTGCAATTGAGCAGGCCATCGTCAAAGAACTGATACCAACATCCAGTCGCCCGGAAACGCCTGCTGCTCCAGCCGAACCCGCATCGGAACCAGCACCCCGCAAAGCATTCTCCGCCAGCACATCTTCAGCTGCTGAGCGTCCCATCACTCCGGGAGTCGATACAAAGCCCGAGGCCCTGGAGCCCTTGTACGTCAACACCAATCGAGAACTCGACGACACTATTAAGGAAATGGCGTGGTTTTTCGAAGGGAAGGAGACGGAACACAACTGGCTGAAGCGAGAGAATTCCGTCCATAAACTTCGAAGGCTCATTGCGGGCAATGTTACTGATTTTCCCGATACCTTCCTTGCCGGAGTTAAGAGCATTTTGGACGGTGTTATCAAGGTAATAACCTCCTTGAGAACTAGTCTCTGCAAAGAGGGCTGTGGTCTGATCCAGGAGATTGCCAACACGTTCGGTCCTGCAATGGACCCTTTGGTAGAACAGCTTATGCAATGTTTTGTCAAGCTGTCTGCAGGAACGAAGAAGATTAGCTCACAACTCGCTAATTTGACAGTCAACACGATTTTGAGTCGAGTTACATATACTCCTCGGTTGATGCAGCATATCTGGTTTGCTTGCCAAGACAAGAACGCTGCACCCAGGACTTATGCTACAGAGTGGCTGAAGACCATTCTGAAAAAGGAAGGCCACCATAAGAATCACATTGAGCACACTGGTGGTGTCGACATAATCGAGAAATGTCTGAAGAAGGGCTTGGCTGATGCTAACCCTGCTGTGAGAGAAAAGACAAGGTCAACTTTCTGGGCCTTTTGGGGAATATGGCCTGCCAAAGCAGACGCGTAAGTCAACCCAAAATGTGTTTAGCAGCTTTGAACTGACATGACATAGCATCATGGCCGATCTGGATGGCACTGCACAGAAACTCCTGAATAAAGATCCCAGCAATCCCAACTCCTCAAAGACGGCAGAACCGTCAGTACGACCCGGCTTAGGGCTGTCCAAGAGTACTATGGGTACTGGCAAGCCCAGCAGCATTCGGGAGGCTATGATGGCTCAACGCAAGGCAAATGCAGCAAAGAATCTTCCTGCCCGGCCTGGTTCAGCCATGGCTCAACTATCACCTGAAAAGATCAATACTACTACGTCGAACGCATCGAGCAAATCTTCAGGGACCCGATCACGGCCTGAAACCGGCGGTATGTCAGGGGCTCCAATGCGGCCAAGCAGGAAACGTCCCGAGATGGCGGCGCGTCCTGCGACGGCTGGCCCGTATTCCGTCCGTGACATGGATCCTGGAAGTCCCGAGAGCGTCAGGTCCAAGACGCCAAAGCCCCGAGAGACTACTCCCAAGAGGACCGGCCCTCGAACAAGACCCGGGCACACTTCACATGCTAGCGAATCAAGTCTAGCGTCACCTTCTTCTGTAAGAACTGGTCAAAAGTCAGCGGCATCTCCCCGAGCAAGCCCCACCAAACTGAAGCAATCGCAATCTACTATGTTGTCCATGAGCAGTCCTTCAAGAGCTGATGAGGACTTCACTATGGTGGTTCCCAACATGGCTAACTTCAGAGCTGCGCAAAGACCCGCACCAGCGCCTCAAAGAGCATCCTCAGTACCACCAGAGGCCCCAGAGGCATTGTCCACTCCAGTGACAGAGACCGCGCCACAGAATATTCCACAAGCCCCAGTTGAGCCTACGTCTGAGCCAACATTTGAGCCAGAACCTAGACCCGAACCAGAGGCAATTCCCGCGCCCGTGATTAAGCCTGTGGCCGAGGCGGCAGACCAGATCATGGATGAGGTTGCCAAGCCTGAAGAATCTGCTCCCGCTGTTCCAGAACCTGTTATTGAATCAACACCTGAGCCATTGGCACCTATACAGGTTGACCAGCTTCCAGCGGCCTCGGCTCCTACTCTTCAGGTCTACGAAGACCCTTTCACTGATGAACAAACAACCCCAAAGCCGACCTTCAATCTCCCTGTGCTGGAAGACAAGCCTGTCAATGCCGATGCTGCCAGTGTACCCAGTGCTCATGCTCAATCTCCTGTGACACAAAATGGAGAGGCTCCTGACAGAACCAAGCAGAGTATGCGACTTTTGGAAAGTGGCATCACCAGAATCAAGGCGAAAACTCTCGATGTGCATGGCTTCCGAAAGTTGCAGTCTCTCTTGCGCGACAGCAAGGGCATCTTTACCGATGATAAATTTGAAGCTCTTTTGATTGGTCTTTTCCAATATCTCGAGGATCCCTTGAGCGGGACCAGCCCTGAGAAAGCCCAGGACATCAAAGCTCAAATTCTTGCTACAATAAGGCTACTACTGAAAAAGGAACGTGACAACTTCCAGCCTCATGTTTCAAGAGGTCTTGAATCGCTTCTTGAGACGCGAAGTGCATACGACATCCGCGCCCACATTGTTAGCGGTGTTGAAGTGCTTGCTGACGAGCTTGTTACCATTGGTGATGGGTCCGAGATTTTAGTTGTTCTTACAAAGCGTCTTCAGAATGTTGATAGTTCTACCACTGGGGGTAGTCGCATTCTCAGCACCGGCATGCATGTGTTGCGAACCATGCTGGATAAGAGACCCAACTTTATGCCTACTGGTACCGAGCTTGGCCAGTTGGCTGCTCTTGCTGGCCGGTGTCTCGCCTCTGCAGACTCTGGTGTTCGCATGGATGCCGTTCAGCTTTGCGTCGCTCTTCACTCAAGGGTAGGCGAGCAGGCCTTCTGGGATGCTCTCAAGGATGTTCAGGACGACCCCAAGAGCTTGATCACGTACTACATTGTTAAGAGACAACGTGAGCAAGCTCCTACAATTGCTGCCTAGGTTCAATAAATGAGGGTCATCAAGCGGAGTTCGGGAAACAGTGTCGGTTTGGCGTTGGTCGACGGAGTTTGGCTATTTGGTTAGGATCGGGTAGGTATTTTGGGATTACCCTTATGGGAAACAGTGACGAGCAAAAAAAGGTGCCAGGTTTTCACTTCGATGATGCACTGGTGGCAGAAATGACGTTTATTGATTTTGCATTCTCGAGCTGTGGCTATTGAATAGTTGCACTGTTTATTTATAAAGACCTTGACTACTGTAGACTTACTTAGCTTGTTGTAATTTGGCATGTTCATGCAATCGCATTGGTTGACAAGATGATAACTCTTCACCGTCCGGCTGCTAGTCATCTTGGATAATTCTAAGTAACACTATAGGGTAGCCAATATAGAAATGGGACAGTAATTTATATCCATCACCATTTATAAATGAGGAAACATTTCAACCCATGCAGGTGATACGTAAACCCCTTGCCTAGCATATCTGATGCTGTAAAAGGATTCAAAAACAATAAAAACTCTCGCAGCCATATATGTAATCAGTGCGACCCAATACGCAACCAAAGTAAACAGCCACGCCGCCCAACTAGTTTGAGCCCGGTCAAATCCAAGTCTTTGATCAATTAGTGAAATCATGAAATAAATCACCAGCACACCTGCGATATAGAGGCAGCTGATAATCCAGATCTTTCTCTCCAGGTCGCTTGGAAAAGCCCAGTTCCCAAGCTACAAGGTGGACACCGCCATAGATGCTTGACAATATCAAGAATAGACCAGCCAACCGGGGAATTTCTTGAAGAAGCCCAAGAGACCAAAGACGTTTCCATTCTCCGTAAAGAAACTGAAGTTTATGTCCAAATTCCTCTTCCCTTCGCCGAAAGGCATAGTCCTATAAGCACGATGTAGGACAGGCCCGAACTCGGGCAGCCGTGCAGGAAAAAGGTCTTGGCCAGCCAGCGCAAATTCAGAATGATATAGGAGGCCAGAAGGGAGAATGTTCCATGGCCACATTTCCAGCCCTGGCTCAAGCTTCACCTAAGGCCCTGACCGTAACTTAGCCCACGTGTTGTTCCATTGCTTGTAAGCACTAGATGTCACTTGCCTTTTTACCTCGGACAATTCAGTCAAGGTCTGTGAGGATCTAGGTGAAGCCTGAAGTGGTTGAAGCTCTTCAATCTCTTGAGAATTATCTAAGCTTGGTTTAGATGAATCCGCTGTGACCCAGTTGGGTTGCACCAAGCTGCTTCTTCTAAGAGGCGGTGGTTGATTAGGACTCTCTTGAGGAGGAAACAGAGCCAACTTGGTCGACATGTTGGGATAGAATTGGCGCTGTAACAAGACTGCGATCTCCCCCTTGAAAGTTCCTGGCTGGATGATTTCTGGCTGGTAAACATTAAGAGGCTTCTAATAACAGTTAGTAAAAGAATTATAATTCAGCCTATTCTTTACACCCACCCTGAACCAACACAAATAGAGAAAGACGGCACAAGCAACATGGACCATAGTGTGGATCTCAAGTAGACTGAGGGGCAAGTTCTTGATCTTTCGCATAACACACTGCATCACCATCCATATTATCTGGGTCAATATGAGAAGCTTCTAAAGGTCGTCGGCTTTAATCTTACCGTCGATCTTCTTCGAAATGGGTATCCAGTGCCCTCTTTCAGCCAACCACATCACGGTCTGAGGGCCCAACCGAACGGAATATGGACGATCCGCAGAATTGAAGTATTGAAAAGCGTTGTCGTGAAGGTGAGCGAATGGCATTGCTTAATCTTGAGATAAACACACATGTTTCTTATCTGAAGAACACCTTGTCTGCAGGGTTCTAAGTTTTGATTTGAGACTCCAGGCCTGTTGTGGTTGATCCGCTGCCATGTAGAGGGAAATCTCAGGCGCAAAGAGGGTGATAGCAGTCCACTTGAGCTTATAGCGGAGTAGTTCGTGCCAAGCTGTTTTGACAGGGACATCGAGATGCAAAGCCGTGTATATACAAGCGATGAGCGTCAAGATGCAGCTCTGCAGGATATCAAAGGTGCCTCGGATATTGGGAGAGTCGACACAGGCGGGAGCTGTTGTGTTGGAGTCGTAATGGACTATCCTCCATGGTTGCTGAGTTTCCACTACACTGCTCGCGCCTCTATCAGACATGATGAATCAGTATCGTCACTGGGACGAGCAGAGTACGGATAGAGAACGAGAGAACAGAGTTCATTTTTGCGGGGAAGAAGAGTATTTAAGACATCAAGATCAGGCTCGGGTGAAGGAAATGTGATATCGAGTTGGTGAGTGAACAAACGTTGACTTAACGACGTGACATTTACCGATACTGTTCTGGTAGGGTAGTCTCACTCGCATCAGCCAGGCGTGAGAAGGATACAGCCGATACTTCCAAGAGGGAAAAACAATCATCTTAGCAAGCAACACCTCTCATCAAACGTACACAAGCTACCTACTAAACCAATACTCCTTCCCCTTCCTGTCCATCAAACCACCATCGTCAACAATGCACCGAAAAAAAAAAGACCAAAGCAACCATGGGCAGAAGAACAAAACAGGCAAGCAGTCGTGAGAAAAGAATTGGATATCATTAAATGTCCTGGCACAAAAACGCCCAGCAGGTTGAATGACACATGCAAGCAAACCAGCGTCGACGCTATCAAATCCAATAAGTGCCCGAATAATTTTCCTTTCCCCCCCTTTTCCATGACGACCCTTGTCAGATCGCGTCTCTGTACGAGTAACCCAAGAATCCACAACTTGATGGTCTCGGTCTCGATCTCGCAAAAGATGGGATGCGGTGTTCGTGAGTCCTGTTTGTATAGATATTCCGAGCTCTCTAAGCATCCTCAAAGATCGTATTACTGTTCTCAATAACAAACTGTATCGCAAGGTTCTTGGCATGCATATCCGTCATTTCGCGCTCAAGACTTGTGTCACGCATGATGGTAGGTGCAAAAACGACAGCCAGGTTCTTAGGAGACATCTAAAGGAGTATATTAGCTTTCAAGAGCAACATGTAAAGTGATGTGTGTCACATACCAAGTTCTCGGGTTCACGCTGAGCAACGCGTGCAAGATGGAACATGAGGAACTCCAGACAATCACGATGACTTTGAGGCATCGAAGCAAACGTCTTGCGTAGGTGATCGCTTCGTTCGTCTTCATCAACAATGGCTGCTGGTTGTTAGCATTCCGTCGGCTTCTTCAAGGGCAGGGTACCAAACTCACCATTCGATTCAAGAACACGCTCATAGACGTCAAACGTCAACAAGGGTGTCGGAAGCTTGCGGAAGTATTGCTTCAGTACACTGGTGACAGCGGTGATATCAAGGTCAGGGTCAGAGATGTCAAAGTTCTCATCTTTGCTGAAACCGTCCTTGATCATGTTGACTTGGGAGTTTCCACCAGTCTTTCGATAGATACCCTCTTGATCCATACCCCTGAGTTCAACTTCCTCGATACATCTCGTCACCACACTGGGAATCTGTCGGCGTTCATGGTCAGACCGCTCAGCAAGATCGGACCCGAACAGAACTGTTGGAGGCTCAGCTGCCTCAGCGTTGTTCATGGTACCTGCGGAACCCGACTTGGGCATCGCGTTCTTCTTTCCGAAGAATCCAAAGCCTTGGCGTTCACGCTCACGCTCTTCCTGCCTCCTGGCTTGCGCTCCAGCCGCACCGTGCTTCTCGTGCGAGACGTGACCGTTGGAAGGAGGGCCGGCTGGTGCTTCAACTTGGGCCACTGTCATATTGTAGGGCATGCCAATATTCTCTCCGCTCAGCCCGCCCTGCTGCTGCATCCTCTCGCGGTCATTCTGGAAGGCAACGACAGCTCTGTTGACACCCTTGGCAACACCCTGGGCCAATCCCTTGGAGCCCTTCTTCCAGTTGAACTTCTTGGCCTGTCCCTTCCTGACCTGTACCACAGTAGGGCCAGCTTCGACAATAGTCTCCTCGTCGGCAGGAACCAGGGTGGCTCCTGTTGATAGACTAGCAGCGTCAAGGTTAATTGATGAGGCGTTAAGGCCCTTACCGGCATATATGCCAAGAGCCCCAGGAGACTTGATATCGCCTCCAATCTGTGACTTGAAGCGTTCTTGAATCTGATGTGTTAGATCGTTGTTCATATCAGCAAGCTGTGCGTTCTTGGAAGACAACTGCTCAAATTCAAGGAGAGCGCGATCTCGATCCGCAATAGCTTGATCTTTCTCTTCGCATAATAGGTCCCGCTCTTCATGAAGTTGCTCTATAGTAGCAGACATGGCCGACTTGACCTTGTCGAGCTTCTGAACAAACTCTTTGATAGCGGACTCCTCCAAATCTCGGGGGTCTACAGGCGTCTTGGTTTCCTTGGCTCGCTCGACATATCCGGCCAACACTTCCAGCTGTCGAATCATAATCTCAGTCTGTGTGTCGAGAACAGAAACAGTCTTTCGCTTCTCCACGAGCTTCTTGTTAAGGCTCTTGAGATCTTTCTCGGTAGTAAACTGCCTTTCAAGCTCCGCAACTCGCTGCTCCGAATTTCGTAATTGCCGTTTGAGGAAAGCAGGGTCGTCGCCTGCTGTCAGTGACATGGGGCTGCTGATATCCTGCGCATGGTAATCATCAGCGACGGGTGTCCTGGGCCAGCGGGGTGATCCAGTAGCTCGTGTAGTTTCACTGATGCTCCTAGTGTGCCTGTTCCCTGGATGCATCTGGTGTGGTGACTCTACGCTGCCGGTGCGACCATGTCTTACCGCGTTAGAAACTCTGCGGAGTATCGAGGATGAGCCTTCGTCAGTGCCTAGTATCCGTGCCATGTCTTCGTCCATGTTTAAGTCCCCACCGCTGCTCCATCTAGGTAGCTTTGGCGAGACCTTGGGTGAGCTACCATCATCCTTAGAAGCTTCCTTTCCTGCGGCATGACCCCTGTTTGGAGGCGCAGGCGCGGAACGTGGTTGCATGTAGGTGTCTGTCTTCTTTTGCTCCGAAATGCTTCGGGAAGGCGTTTGGCGCGTGGGTGTGGAATCCTCAGGGGATTCTTGTCGGCTTTGTTGTCGGCTGCTGCCGTTTACTATCCTTTCTGTCAGTTCCTGTGAGTATTTATGAGATTCAGACGAATAGTTACCAGTTCTATTAGAGGAAGAGGGAACATCCTTTCTAGCAAGAGGCTTTACGTTCTCTGGTCTTGAAGATGTTCTTGTCGACGAATCCATCGATGCGCGAAGCTCTTCCTCATCCAGATACCTCGACTCCAGCGATGAACGGGAGGCGGGCGTGGTTGCGTTGCTATCGGAGTGAGGCAGACCACCGTGGCCCGCCTTACCTGATTGTCCATTGCTAGTTCTCACAGAACTTGTCTCTGCAGGTATACTTGACGACTGTGAGCTGCTCCTTGAAAGCAGCTTCTTGCTCTTAGGGGCCTCTTGAAGCTTGAAATCTTCGGTGGGTGGGCGGCGACCGCTCGTCTTCTGAGTCTTTTCATCGACAGCGGGTGATGGTTTCAAAGATTCTGGTCGTGGGGGTTTAGAATGCTTTCGATCAGGTAACTTGGGTGGAGTATCATGTTCTGAAGTAGACGGCTGACGACCCTTCTCCTGGAAAGCAATATGTGGGGTGGAGGTGCGGGAGTCGCTCTTCTTCTCAGAAGGAGGCTTTACGGCACCGAAATAGTCTCGGTCCTTCGATTTGCCTTCTGCCATGTTGTCGGAGGTCGACTTTGGTGTTGGGTGCGGACTTGGGTCTAGAGCGACAGAGATGAGGAAGCCGTCGTCGTTGGAGTTTTCCGTCCGAGACATCATGGTTGAGTTGCGGTTGCTTCGATAGGTCGTGGCAGGCAAATTTAAACCGTCTGGCTTTCGTTCAGGAGAACGAGCTGGCCGTGAGCTACTGCGAGACGAAGACTCATGGCGAGTGTGATTCCGAGGCCGTGGAGAGAGCTCAGTGGCGGTATCTGAATCAGGATCTACCCGGTCGTTGGAGAAGGCGTTTGGTGGGATGGCATTCGCGGGAAGAGCGGGCAGCGACTTTTCTGTGATCATGGGCGAATGCTCTTTTTCTCTCGCTTTTGCAGCGGCTGCAGCTTTTGACTTTTTCCTACGCCTGGCCATGAGCGTTTCGTGACAGCCCATGCAGAAGATGCCTTGGGAAGTGCGTGCATAACGCAGGTTTTCGATTTTGCGTTTACAGTTGCGACAACGGAAACATGTGGCACAAAATGCCTGCTCTCCAGTAAGGATAGCCAGGTCTTCAATCTTATTGCCGCAGGCGCTGCAGCTGTATGTGCAGTTATTGCAGATGAGAGACCCGTCGCCGAGGAGTAGAAGGTTCGCGTCAGAGTCGAGAAGTGTACCGCAGGTGTTACATCGGAAGCAATCAAGATGCCATCGGTTCCCGGCTGTTGAGAGTGTCAGCTTGCTGTGTCATATGCCGAAATTATATTTGTAATTCTTGCGGTGAAGTGCTGGTTATAGTCTGGAATTACCACAGCACATCATGGGAAATCTGCTCTCGTTCAATCTTTAACATACCTAATTCGAAAGCTTTGCCTTCTTCGAGAATCTTTCCAGCTCGTTAACAACACATTACCAAGTTTCCTGCAGGAAGAGCAAAACTTACATCTCCACAGCCTTTGCAAGGAAAGACGTCGTCGGTCTCTTGTTCCATCCCGGGACTCTCCAGATAATCTTCCACGATACTAGTCATGGTGGGCAATGTGTTGGGGTAAGGGTGAAACTCGGTGTCGTAACCTGGGACGAAGCGATCGAAATTTGGTGCCTAGCTAGAGTGAATATGGCATTTAGACACAGAATTGTTGCAGCCCAAGGTAGCAAGCGACACGACGCAGCTAAAGGGTAGGCGTCATGGACGAGGTCGTAATGGTAGCAAAGGAGTCGGGTCAAGGATTGCGGCGGAGCAAGTCGTCGAGAAATCGGGGCGAGAAGGAAGTTGTTGAGGCGGTCGGCAGGTGTTTGATCGAACGGGGTAGCAATATTTGTTGATAGCGTCGCACGGTAGTACTCCTACTGAGAGGGAGACTGACAAGAACTTGAATGGGGTTCAAATTCAGGAAGTAGTGGACAGCTTAGTTAGAGTCAGGGTACTAAGTCAAAGTCGATGCCCAAAGCAAAAGCGAAAGCCAACAGCAAGTAGCAAGCAGACGGAACCAAAC